CGTGAGGAAAGTCCAGGCTATTTCCATCCTTGCACATAGGCGCGTGCTCTGTCTCGCCACCATGGGAGAAGACCCAAAGTGGCCAGCGTGCCATGGGCTGTGCCTCCAATGTGACGGGGTCCAGCTGTCCCCCGGGGCTGTTCACCCCTTGTGGCACTCACCTGTGCAGGGGAAGGAGCTGGCAGTCACAGTGGAAAGGCACCTCCCTCAGGTTGAGGATCTCCAACCCTGTGAAGTTGCTCATGTCGGGGAGGTTGCTCATTTTGTTGCTCTCCAGGTAGAGGCTTCTGATCTTCGGACCAAGGCCAGCAAAGGCACCAGGGGAAATCTGCAACAAAGCAAGGGTGAGTCAGGGCTGGATCTTGATGGAGGCAGGGGAGCAAATCTCTGCCCCTGCACTGCTCATCAGCCTGATGGGCTGAGAGAGCCTGTCCTGAACCTACGCCCCTGTGAAAGAGCTGTTTTCAACAGCAGCGCATGTGCTCGGGGACTATTGATTGACTCGTCCAGTTTTGGTCACGTTTTGGGACTCACTAGATCCTGCTCAGTCTTCCTGGAAAGACAGTGACATGCAGGAGACCTTAGAGTGATCCCTGGGCACTGTTAAAGGTGCGTGGTCCTTACGAGTGGTGCTAACACAGCTTTCTTGAGAGGATGGAGGAATTCAGAGTAATAGCTGTGCAGAGTCCCGCAGGACAGCTGGTAGTAAAAGCAGGAGAAATATAGCCAGGGCTGGGGGAAGGAGGTGTTTTGGGAATAGTTTGGATCCCACTGAAACGGGTGTCTTTAAGGACCAGGAAGTGCAAGGCTGTCTCGGGGAACGGATTGGCGCACAACAACACTCCAGCTGAACCCAAGGAAGCCCCTACTCCCAGCCAGGCTACAGAGCATCTCCTGAAGCTTTCGGAGTTTGGGGACATTCGTTCAGATGCCTCTATAGGGGCCACCAGCCCTGGGCAGCAGAACAAGGTGGGACCTGTGACTGTGCCCTGCGGTGCCCCGGCCCCTCAGGAGTCCCCAGCAACACGCACCTGCTCCAGGCCGGTGTTGTCCAGGTAGAGGTGCTGCAGGCTGGAGGCCACCGGCAGGAAGGCACCATCCCCCACACGCTCGATGGGTTTTCGGGACACCTTCAGCTCGCTCAGGGCAGGCAGGCCCCACAGGGCTGCCGTGGGCACCTCCCCCAGGCGGTTTCCCTCCAGGTGCAGCTTCTCCAGCATCTTGGCTGGAGCCAGGACTCCGGGGGCGATGCGCCCGATGGTGTTCCCGGCGAGGTAGAGCCAGCGGAGCCCTCCTGCCCCGGCCAGGTCACCCTCCGCCAGCTCCCCGATGGTGTGCTGCAGGTGGAGGGAGATGAGGGCGGGCAGGAGCTGGAAGGAGCGTGCGGGCAGGTGGGCGAAGTGGTCCAGGGGGAGGTAAGCCAGCCTCGGGGCCCCCTTGAAGGCGGTGGCCGCCAGGGTGGAGAGGCGGTTGTCGGAGAGATAGAGGTAGACCAGGCTCTCCAGCCCCCGCAGCGCCCCAGGGCGCAGCGCCTTGATGCCGCAGCTCTGCAGGTGGAGGGACACTAGTGCCTTCAGGCCGGGGAAGGCGCCTGGTGGCACCGTCCCGAAGGT